TGAGCTCCAGATACGGGCGAATCTCTAGGGACCCAGACTCAAACGGGAGAAGTGGGACTGTCTGGCATCGGTCGGAACTCGAAGGCAGCTTTCTCTCCAAGGTTTGCAGCGGTTGCTGGGACTCTGAGAGGCAGAGCCCCTGGGGACAGAACTGAGAGCAGCCATAACTGCTCGCTCCGCCCGCCCTGTTGATCCCGTGGGACCCCCCCCCCCCGCCCAAACCCTGCACAGAGGCATTTGCCGGATAGCCTTAGGCAAATGCAAGATTAGCACCGCCCTAGAGATCCAGCACAGAAGCTCTCCCACTGCAGACACAGCTGACTCTCATAGCCAGTTAGCCTGGAGGTCAAATCACCCCCAGTATTGCCGACAACAATCAAGGCTTAACTACAACAAGACTGTACACAAAGACCACAAGGGGGTGCACCAAGAAAGCATAAAAAATGCGGAGACAAAGAAACATGACAGAAATAGAGGATATAGAGCTAAAAAACGCACTTTTAAGGTCTTTCAATAATTTTCTAGAAACTGCCGATAAACTTGATGAGATCTACAAGAAATCTAATGAGACCCTCGATGTTGTGATAAAGAACCAACTAGAAATTAAGCATACACTGACTGAAATAAAGAATATTATACAGACACCCAACAGCAGACCAGAGGAGCGCAAGAATCAAGTCAAAGATTTGAAATGCGAAGAAGGAAAAAACACCCAACCGGAAAAGCAAAAAGAAAAAAGAATCCGAAAATACGAAGATAGTGTAAGGAGCCTCTGGGACAGCTTGAAGCTTACCAACATCAGAATTATAGGGGTGCCAGAAGATGAGAGACAGCAAGATATTGAAAACCTATTTGAAGAAATAATGACAGAAAACTTCCCCCACCTGGTGAAAGAAATAGACTTACAGGTCCAGGAAGCGCAGAGAACCCCAAACAAAAGGAATCCAAAGAGGACCACACCAAGACACATCATAATTAAAATGCCAAGAACAAAAGACAAAGAGAATCTTAAAAGCAGCAAGAGAAAGAAACTCAGTTACCTACAAGGGAATACCCATACGACTGTCAGCTGATTTCTCAATAGAAACTATGCAGGCCAGAAGGGAGTGGCAAGAAATATTCAAAGTGATGAATACCAAGAACCTACAACCAAGATTACTTTACCCAGCAAAGCTATCATTCAGAAGTGAAGGTCAGATAAAGAGCTTCACAGATAAGGAAAAGCTAAAGGAGTTCATCACCACCAAACCAGTATTATATGAAATGCTGAAAGGTATGCTTTAAGAAGAGGAAGAAGAAGAAAAAGGTAAAGATACAAATTATGAACAACAAATACACATCTATCAACAAGTGAATCTAAGAATCAAGTGAATAAATAATCTGATGTACAGAATGAACTGGTGATTATAATAGAATCAGGGACATAGAAAGGGAATGGGCTGACTATTCTTGGGGGGGAAAGGGGTGTGGGAGATGCGAGAAGAGACTGGACAAAAATCGTGCACCTATGGATGAGGACAGTGAGTGGGGAGTGAGGGCGGAGGGTGGGGCAGGAACTGGGAGGAGGGGAGTTATGTGGGGGAAAAAGAGGAACAAATGTAATAATCTGAACAATAAAGATTTAATTAAAAAAAAATTTAAAAAAAAACAACAGTAATATTATGGTTGGGTGTCACCACAACATGAGGAACTGTATTAAAGGGTCGTGGCATTAGGAAGGTTGAGAACCACTGAGAGAAATTGGAACCTTCATACATGCTGGTGGGAATGTAAAATGGTACACTACTTTGGAAAACTGTTTGGCAGTTCCTTAAAAAGTTAAACATAGAGTTATCATATAAGCTAGCAATTCCACACGTAGATATACACCCATGAAAATTGAAAATATGTTTACACAAAAACTTGTACACAGCTTTTCAGAGCAGCATTATTCATGGTAGCCCCAAGGGGAAGCAACCCAAATGTCCATCGGTGAATGAATGGTTAAACAAAAGTAGACTATCCATACTGTGGAATATTACCCAGCTATTAAATAGAAATGATCCCAGCCTGTGTGGCTCAGTGGTTGAGTGTCAACTCATGAACCAAAAGATCATGGGTTCGATTCCCAGTCAGGGCACATGCCTGAGTTGTGGACTCAATCCCCAGTAGGGGGCGTGCAGGAAGCAGCCGATCAATGTTCTCTCTCAGCGATGTTTCTATCTATCCTCCCTTCCTCTCTCTATAAAATAGATTAAAAAAAAATTTTTTTTAAGGAAATAAATTATTCATTTCATGCTACAACATGGATGAACCTTGAAAACATCATGCTAAATGAAAGGAACCAGACAGAACAAGTCACATATTATATGAATCAGTTTATATGAAATATCCAGAATAGGTAAATCCATAAAGACAGAAAACAGGTTGATGGTGGCCAGTGGCTGAGAGTGTAGGTAATGGGGAGCAACTGCTTAATGGGTAGGGGAGTTTCCTTTTGGCGTGCTTATTCTGGAACTAGATAGTGGTTATGGTTGCACAATTTAGTGAATATGGTAAAAACCACTGACTCGCACACTTTATTTTTTATATGTAATTATATACTTTAGAAATGTGAATTTTATGGTATGTGAATTATATCTTTAAAAAAATTAAAGGATAGCATTTAAGAGTTTTTCCTAGTACCTTCTTCATTGTCTAGGCACCAAACATCTGCTTTTAGCTAGGATCCTTAGTGTATTCTCATAGGAAATATTTTAAATTACTAAGTTTTTAGCGTACAGAAAAGAACAGTTAACTTATAAACTAGTGGCCTGGTGCACGAATTCGTGCACATTGAAAGGAAATTAATTAGAAGAAATATTTTAATATCGCTATTTGCACCCTAACCGGTTTGGCTCAGTGGATAGAGCGTCGGCCTGTGGACTGAAGGGTCCCAGGTTCGATTCCAGTCAAGGGCATGTACCTTAGTTGCGGGCACATCCCCAGTAGGAGGTGTGCAGGAGGCAGCTGATTGATGTTTCTCTCTCATCAGTGTTTCTAACTCTCTATCCCTCTCCCTTCCTCTCTGTAAAAAATCAATAAAATATATTTTTTTAAAAAATATCGCTATTTGCCCTTTCTCTATAATAGAAGTGTCAACCAAATTCATGATCGACAATGACAGATGGAAACACATGCGTGCAATTGGCACTAGCAAGAGCTTTATATATATCGTGCATGCACAAGTCAATTTAGCCTTTTATAGGTATAGAATAAACTTGCTTAATTAGACCTGCTTTCTGATGTAGCTAAACTTTTTCCAGCCCAGTGAAGCACCCCAACTTCTCTTTCAGGTAATTGTCAGCAACACAGCAGTAGATATCAACACGAAGCAGATTATTATTGTATATCATGTAGGGAGAACAAAGGGTAAAATATTTAACTACAGCAGTGTTTGACTATATTCTATGCAGTGAGAAAACCTGAAGTCATTTTTAAGGTCCAACATTTCTTACTTCTTTTTAGTCGGGTCAAGTTTCTAAGCTTTTTAAATTCCGTTTTCCGCTAATGAAAGAAAGTCTTCTATCTACCTACTCCAGGACTTCTGTGATGTGAGGATCAAATGAGATGAGGCACGGGAAAATGCTTCACAGATATTTGGTTAAAGTGTGAAATGTTCCTGGGTTGAAGAAACTGCAAGGAGGCTAGTCGCTAGAGAGGAAGCTGGGCGTTGCTACGTGATGTCATTACCTGGAGCCCACAGCAACCATTTCTGGGCTGTGGGCTGCATTTTGTGCCATGGGGTCTAGGCAGTGTTGGCTGCGATTTGGTGGGGTGTCGCTCCGGGGTGGTGGTGGGGCCTGTGTCCCACTTGGGGGAAGCTGAGTGTTGGTTTGTCGGCGCCAGGTCCATGGTGCTGGCCAGTGTGCGTCATGGCAGCTCCTGTGTTGAGTGTCTGCTCCCTGGTGGTCAGTGTGTGTGATAGCAGCCGGTCAGATGGTAGGAGGAACACAACATATTAGCCTTTTATATATATATAGATGGCTGGTAAAAATAACTGATAAAAAAATTAAAACAGGAGGAGGAGGAGTCATTTCAAATAATAATAGCACTTTAGTTACTAATTTACTTATTGATTCAGAAATGTTTCCTGAAGTATGGGTGGGTGAGGCTAATAATGAATCTTTCTCTTTTTTCTTACTCTACTTTTTCCTTACTCTGTTTTTATGTGATATTCCTATGGTCTCTAACTTGATGTATGCTAGTCTCATTTTTCCTCCAGGGATGTAGTAACCTTCACTTCTTTTTTGTCTTCCATTAGCTGTGAGAACAACCCATATTGTCTAGTAAAGGACTGGGTGGTGTGATGTTTTGGAAGGAGTGTTCATTACCATGTTAGGAGGTCTGAGTTCTAGTACCTAAACTGCCTGTCACTTTTTCACTGTGTCACCTTAGGCAAATCACCTAATCTGAAGATATGTCCTCATTACAAAATGTGGGAATGGAACCAGTTGGTTCCAGTTGGTTCAAGATTCTGTGCATTAAATTGAAGTAATATGCTGATTAATACAATTTCTTATATAGACTTATCTAATCACACATTTGGATTTCTATATTAATTTGGTTCATGGTTACAAATAGCTTTTAGGTGATAGTGCTGCACTGATAAAATGAAGATCCTGTCTTTAGGGACCTCACTGCATTGTGGGGCACTTGACATATAAGCAACCCATATTGTGATTTTACAGTTCAGTCTCGTGATTGTTCTCATGAAGAGGCTGTGACATCATTAGAGCCTGGTGTGTGGGAGGGTTCAGGAAAGGGCTTTGGTGGTGTGTTAAGCTCCTTTAAGGTAGTAGGCTCTGGTTATATATCATTTTGGAATTCTAACTATCCGTTTCTTAAGCTGCGTTTATGTTTGGTTCTATCAGTTCAGAAGCTTTGTTGTACCTTTTTTTAAAAGGAGAAATAAGTATTTGTGGCAAATTAATAATAATAATGGGGAGTTTCTGGTGTGAAATAATTTTACCTCTTTTCAGACAGATCCAGTTGAGTATGTGGAAAACATGTGCGAAAACATGCAGCTATACCCTCTGCAGGACTTTCTCACTGGAGATCAGCTTCTTTTTGAATACAAGCCAGAAGTAAGGAGGTTTCCATTTCTAACACTTAACATTTAGAGAAAGAAGGGTGAGAAAGTGCAGAAAAGTGCTTCAGAACCGTGGGAATGGAGAAAGCTTAATTGTAATTAGTCATGTCTTGGTTGTTTAAATCAAAGAAATATCAGTAGTTTTGTGGATAATTTTCCATGATTCTTGTATATGATTATGTTTTAATAGGAGAAAATCAAGTCCTTTTCTTAGGTACTATTTTCACCATTTTTCAAGTATTGAAACATCTACTTAAATAGTTAAAGTGATTCCTAAAAATTATGTGCTTTGGTTGCTAAGCATACTTAGAGTTGTTTAGCTGACCCTTTAATTCAGTTGGAGACACTACACAACTAAATTTTAATTATTTTGAAAATATTTACAAGAAAAATAGATTCACTGAATTCAAAATATATATGATTTATAGGTAACTTTACATACACATAAATAGTTGGTCAGGAACTTTCCTCCACTGTTCCTGGGAAACAAGTAATTTTGTTTCTTATAGAGTAACAGTTCTCACAGGGGTGATTTTGCCCCCAGGGGACATTTGTCCATATCTGGAAACATTTCAGTTGTCATACTGGGGTTGCTCTTGGCATCTAGTGGATAGAAGCCAGAGATATGGCTAAATATCCTACATGAAGACAGCACGCCACAACAAAAAAATATCTGGTCCAAAATGTTAATAATGCCAAGCTTGAGAAACTTTGATGTAAGGTAAAACATAACTACTCATTTTAAAGAGGGTAGGGAAAGGGAGAGGAAGAAGCAGCAACCATACCTTCTCGTCATTTCCCCAGAATGGTTGTGCCCAACAGTCCAAGTGCTTTTTTCTGAACTACCATTTGTCATTTTTTTCCTCAAAGAAATATTTAAATGGTAGTTAGCATTTCAAAACTAACCCATGAAATCTTGTTTTAGTCCTTGTCATAGCTTAAAGATTATTGCAGTAGGCCCTACATTGGGATTGTTTTTACTGTTTCTTGGGTGTGAGATGGTAGTTAGGAGTATATAGTCTTTGGAATCATGTACAAACTTTTTGTTTCTTCTAGCTGCATTTTGTACAGATTATGTAATCTTTAACTTGAGAAAATTATCTTTAACCTCTGAAGCTATGTTATTTTCAATAAAATTGGTGTGCCTTAGGATTAAATGAAATAGCATATGTTAAACATTATCTGACACATAGTAAAAACTTAGTGATAACTATTTTTACTGGTAATACTGTTTCTACATATGATTAGAGATGAATACTGCTTATATAGCATTATCTAGAAACATTTTAAACAACTAATAGTCTAATGAAGTTATATAAATTAGGGTGTTCATGGACTATAGACAATTTCGTTTATGTCGAGATCTTGGGGTATTTAACATAACATAATGTGGTTCTGCCTTTTTACCAGAGATATATAGGTTACAGTTGTTGTTAATGTGTCTCCTCCTCCATTCCCATCCCTTATTAGGTCATTGCTGAAGCCCTTAATCAGCTAGTTCCTCAAAAAGCAAATCTCGTTCTGCTGTCTGGTGCTAATGAGGGAAAATGTGACCTCAAGGAGAAATGGTTTGGGACTCAGTATAGTATGGAAGGTAAAATATTTTGAATAATTGTCCTACATAATTAAGGTGTATCTGACTAACCTGGGAATTTTTATTTCTTAATAATCTGACTGATAACCTGGCTGGAGTGGTTCAGATGGTTGGAGTATCATCCTGTGCACTGAAAGGTTGCAGGTTTGATTCCTGGTCAGGACATATACCTAGGTTTCAGATTCAATCCCTGGTCGGGGCACATATGGAAGGCAACTGATTGATGTTCTCGCTCTCTCACTTTGGTCGGTCTCTCTCTCTCTCTCTCTCTCTCTCTCTCCCTCCCTCCCTCCCTCCCTCTTTCTTTTCCTCCCTCTTCATTTCTAAGCATGACCTCGAGTGAGGATTTTAAAAATAGAATAAAAACGTAATAATTTGATAGTTCCTGTAGTGAAAAAGTATATGTATTTTTAGATTACTTTGAAATGAAAATTACTTATACTTCTATGCAGGAAATTATTTTCTGCTATGATTATATCTATATTTATTAGATAGTAAAAAATCCTGTCATCTTGATAGTTAGGGGGCAGTTTTGAATATGTTTTAGAAAAGTGTATCTTAAACTTCTTTAGTGTGCATGTGTACCACCTGGAGATCTTATTAAAATATAGATTCTGCCCTAACCGGTTTGGCTCAGTGGATAGAGCGTCGGCCTGTGGACTCAAGGGTCCCAGGTTCGATTTCGGTCAAGGGCATGTACCTTGGTTGTGGGCACATACCTAGTAGGGAGTGTGCAGGAGGCAACTGATCGATGTTTCTCTCTCATCGATGTTTCTAACTCTCTATCCCTCTCCCTTCCTCTCTGTAAAAAATCAATAAAGTATATTTAAAAAAATAAAATAAAATAAAATATAGATTCTGATTTAGTAGCTCTGGGGTGGGGCCTGAGATTCTGCAATTCTAACAAGCTCCCAGGTAATACCAATGCAGTAGAGACCACGCTGAGTAGCAAGAGTCTAGAATGCCTAGATATGTCAATCACAGGTTTCCAAAGAAAGGAGAATTAATTTGTGAAGGTCAGTTGTTGACTGGTTTGTTATTGAAAGAATTCTGAACATTGCATTGTTTATTGGATCAGTTTGTTTTTCCATTTCTACAGATGTTGAAAACTCTTGGGCTGAACTGTGGAAGAGTAATTTTGAATTAAATCCAGATCTTCATCTTCCAGCTGAAAACAAGTACATAGGTCAGTGAAATAGCTATCACTATTCATAATCCATCCATAGTCTAATAAAATGGCACCTGTATAGAACAGTATGTTTTACAAAGAACCATTAGATTCATATTTGAGTTTCCTAGAATACTCTGGGCTGGGCATTACTGTTTTCTTACTTTTTTGAATGAGAAAACTGAAGCTCAAAAAAGCAAAGCAACTTGTCCAAGACTATTCAGTTGGCGAATGGAGGAAACAGGACTTTAACATAGATCTTGGGACTCTCTGAAGTATTTGTTTTTGCTTTATCATAGCTGATCCTTTCATTCAGTCTATGTAGGAATTACCATTATCTCATCTGGTTGTTTTAGTGTTTTTCAAACTCTAGATTGCAACCCATTAGAGGGTTGTGAAATCAGTATAATGGGTTGTGATGCCAGTGTAATCGTTGTGAAAGCATTTAAAAAATCAATTAGAATGGAAAATAGCAAAATGTTTAATTGCATAAAGAAAGAGTATTATCTTAAGAACTTTGGTTCCAGACTTCACTAAGAGAAGTTACTTAGAATTCTGAAACCGAGAATGGATTGCTAGGAACCCTGCTAATATATCTGAATGAGTTATTACTCTTTTCTTTTGTTAGCCTCGGACTTCATGTTGAAAGCTTTTGATTCTCCTGAGACAGAATACCCTGTTAAAATTGTGAACACTCCACAAGGTTGCCTGTGGTATAAAAAAGACAACAAATTCAAAATCCCCAAAGGTAAAATTTTCCATTCCTTACAGGAGTGAAATAAGTGTTTCAAATCTTTCTTCACTTTGTAGCAAATGTTTTTCCTTATGTCTATCATCTACCTCCCTTTTTCCTTCCGTTTCCATTTGAACACCTTTTCTAGGCGTATCTGTCAGATCAATACTGTGCTCCGGTGCTATCACAAAAATCCTGTAGACACTACAGATTCTAGGAAATAAAGATTCAGACCTAACATGAAATTGTTTTTCAGATATTTTACTTTCAGTATAATGAAAGCACAGCCAGGTTTTTTGGCCATCTTAGGGAATAGGTACTTTTGAACATTGTTTGGAGTGTTGTCTTGTACACCAAAGGTTGTGGGTTTGATTCCCGGTCAGGGAACATGCCCAGGTTGGGGGTTCAGTCCCCAGTTGGGGCACACGCGGGAGGCAACTGCTTAATGTTTCTCTCCCCTTTCCTCTCTCTCTAAAATCAACAAAAACATATCATCAGGTGAGGATTTTTTTTAAAAATTAAGTAAGAATACACTGAAGGAAATTATTCTTAGATACCGGAGCCTCATCGAGCATTACAAATGTGAAATATTTTCTGTATATCTATCTCCCTCTACCGTTTTGTTTTTCTGAATAGAGGAAGCATAGTATACAGTTAAACAGACTCTAAAATCCTTTTCTTCAACATGGCAGCCCAAAGTGTATTGCTTTTGTTTCTGTTCCTGTGCATAGCATAGGAATTTACTGAAGCAAACTGGAATTAAAGACTAAGTGTTCTTGCTTTCTTAAATAGCTTATAAGAGTTTCTAAAAAATGTTTTTAACATTTATTCAGCTTCCTTGGAAAGGCTCTGCTATAACTTCTTGTGAACATTGGGATTTTTCTCTAATGTTATTGACATGTATACCTCTGTAAACATTTTCCCTGACTAATGCTATTGATAAATATGAACATTCATAAGTCTCTCTGTATATCTGTCTATATATCTGATCTTCCGATAGATTAAAGTGTGCCTTTTGGTCATTATTTGGAATGGTAAATATTACTTTTTAAAGGACCTCTAAGGATTAAAATGTAATAAGGATTTAAGGGTTAGTAGCTTATTTCAGAATTTTTAAAAAGCATAATTTGGGGTATAAATAGCAGATACATAAAATATTTGAGTCCTCTGTTCTTTATTTTCTTATCTATAATTTTTTTGCTTTCAGCATATATTCGTTTTCATCTGATCTCACCTTTGATTCAGAAGTCTGCAGCAAAGTAAGCAATTGTCCTCTTTTCTAGAAAAAATATTTATTATTGAAAGTTATTTTGTTTCATTCTGAATCATTCTATCATTTTCTCTATCAGTACCTGGGCTATGCTGCTGATTATGTATTTTTTTTGTGCCCAAAACAAATTATTTGTATCAGTAGTAAACATTGAACTGGAACTGTGGCTGCTGCATTTCCAGTGCCCATTTGTGAAACAGGCTGATAGCGTAGACTCATCATAGACTTAGTGGATTGAGGTAGTTCCTTAGAGATTAGTTTGGGTTAGCTTCCAGTCTATAATGAAGACTAGTGGGTCTGTTGATCCTGTATTTAGAGACTGCCAGAGAACCTGATTATGTATGCTTTGTTCTTAGCAAATTACTTATATATTTATGTAAATAGCTGCATTGTAGGAGGTCAGAGAGCTTAAAATATTCCTGAAACATAGGAGGTTCTCAGGAAAATATATTGTGTTTCTTCCTTAAAATCCAACCTTAAAATGACAACCAGCATTAACATTTATTAATATCCACTTTAAAAAAAGACATTACCTTCATCCTTCCCCCTCAGATTTTTAATTTGTCAATCAGAAAAGTTAGGCCTTAGGAGTAGTCGGAGCCTTTAGGCAAGTTGCCTTTGATGCCTTTTACACTTCCCCACAGTGCAGCATTAATATGACCGTTTCTATGTGTGCATGAGATGAAAAAGATTGGGAAGCACTGCTGAAGGTAGTAGTTCTATAATGCTCCTATGAAACTGAGTCCTGGGTAAGCAGTATTTACCTGGAGCTCCATTAGTATATACTTTTACATTCTGGAGAAGTGATTTAACATCTTTGTAAAAGTGAAGTTTCTTATTCTAAATCAAAGCATATATTTTCATGTCTATTTCTTGTCAATTAACAATGACTTTTGCATTTTATATTCTCAGTGTGGTCCTCTTTGATATCTTTGTTAATATTCTCACCCATAACCTTGCGGAACCAGCTTATGAAGCAGATGTGGCACAGCTGGAGTATAAGCTGGTAGCTGGAGAACATGGTTTAATTATTCGAGTGAAAGGATTCAACCACAAACTACCTGTAAGTGCAAGTGCTGTTTTACTCATAGAGAATTTTATAATTTCATATTTATATTTGTTGCCCCTATAGCACCAAGCATAGAAGCTTGTGCATGGAGTGCTATACATAGAAAGAAATGTTTATTAATTAAACTAGAGGCCCGTTGCACGAAGATTTGCGCAATAGGTTTTCCTTCCTCTGGCTGCCGGCACCGGTTTTCCTCCGGCACCTGGGACCCAGGCCTCGAGGCTTGGCTTCTCTGCTCCGGCCGCAGCAGCGAGTCTTGGCTTCTCTGCTCCGGCCGCAGCAGCGAGGCTTGGCCTCTCTGCTCGGGCTGCAGCAAGGCTTGGCTTCTCCGCTCTGGCTACAGCGGAGAAGCCAAGCCTCTTCAGTCTTCAGTCATTTTCAGTCTTCAGTAGTCTTCAGTCTTCGCTCTGCGTCTGCATATGCAAATTAACCGCCATTTTGTTGGGTTAATTTGCATACTCATCCTGATTGGCTGGTGGGCATAGCGGAGTGACACCAATTTGCATGTTTCTCTTTTATTAGTGTAGATAATGTTTATTACTGTGTTTTTTGGGCTCTGAGAGCTATTTTAACTTTCGCCACACATAAGAGCAACAGATATTCATTCCTTAGTAGCAATGCATGCAACACTGACAGGCACTGACACATTGCCTGACATAGAGTAGAACTCAGATGTTTGTATCCTTTCTTCCTCTTATACTCTATCCCATTGTTTCAAGTATGTGTATTTTGCTTCTTAGTTCTAAGTTTATGAACCTTTTAGAAACAGGATCCCATATCCTATCAGTAGTTTGTCTTTTGGTAAGGAATGTGTTCTAGTGTTGCTTTGTCTAAAACTTCATAAGCAGAAGAAGAAATAATATGGGATGCTAGCTAAGAGGATTAGATCATTAAATACCAGGAAAGTAATATAATGTACCCAACAACAAATTTTATGTCTTGATTTTTTGGGTAGAAATCAATATAAAATAAGACATAAAACCATATATTAAGGTTTGGGGCTCTTGGTTCACACACAAAAAAAAATCTGGAGGAAAGGACCTGGCAGAGGTTAGATCTGTGCAAAGAGGTGATAGCTTCAATATCCTAGCAATAATGCTAGTGAATAATATAGTTCTCTTTATACCTTCATCCCTGTCAGTCTCCTCAGGGAACAAATATTGGTCTTAGGAGGATACACCATGGAGTATTTTACTTTTGTCAACCTTCAAAAGCCTACATGTAATGTAACTTAAGATCCAAACAGATTAAAGCCTAAACAGAAGAGAGCTTTTCAAAATACAGACCATAGAAAAGTATTTGAGGGTCTTCATTTTATGAAGCTTACCTAGTTTTAATATTAAAACCTGAGATAGAATATAAATATATAAAACTCGAGACCAGTTTTACCTGTAAAATGTAGATGCAAACTTTAAAAAATTTGAAAATTAAAAAAAAAGTAACAAAAAGAATACATCACTATGACCAAATGCTAGGAATGCAAAAGGTTGGTTGTTCAGTATTAGGAAGTTGATGAATAAATAACAGTTCGAATGAGAAGCATGACAGGCAGACCTCAGAATTTTGTGGGTTTGGTTCTAGACCCCCGCAATAAAGCGAGTACCGCAATGGCTACTACATTAAAGTGAAAAAAATAAATAAAATAAAATCACTTGGAAAAGTAAAAATATTTTTCTTTGCAAATGATATGGTTGTATTCTTAGAAAACCTAAGATGCTACTAAAATTATAAAAATAACTTGTGATATGGCTTGTCACAAGATCAGTATATCCAAATCAATGGCTCTTTTTCCTATAGTAGCAATAACTACTTAGAAATGGATGGAAATATTTATAATATTGGGAAAAAAAATACCTAGGAAGAAATAAAAAAAAAAAATGCCAAACTAGTCTAAAGAAAACTATAAATCTTTTTTGTTGTTGTTAATCCTCACCTGAGAATATTTTTTCCATTGATTTTGTTGTTCTTTTTTTTCTTTTTAATCCTCATCTAAGGAGTTAGAACATTTTTTCCATTGATTTTTAGAGAGAGTGGGAGGGGGGAGGGAGACAGGGGAGAGAGAGAAAAGAGGGCGAGAGAGAGGAAACATCAATTAGTTGCCTCCCGCTTATGCCCCGATGGGCCAAGAATCAAGCCTGCAACTGAGGAACATGCCCTTGACTGGGAATCGAACCCAAACCCTGTGGTCTGTGGGTTAACGCTCTAACTATTGAGCACCAGCCAGGGCTCTTGATTTTTTTTCTTTTTTTAATCCTCACCTCAGGATATTTTTCCATTGATTTTTAGAGAGGGTGAAAGGGAGGGGTGGAGGCCTAACCGGTTTGGCTCAGTGGATAGAGCATCGGCCTGTGGACTGAAGGGTCCCAGGTTTGATTTCGGTTGAGGGCATATACCTTGGTTGCGGGCACATTCCCAGTAGGGAGTGTGCAGGAGGCAGCTGATCGATGTTTCTCATCGATGTTTCTAACTCTATCCCTCTCCCTTCCTCTCTGTAAAAAATCAATAAAATATATTTTTAAAAAAGAAAGGGAGGGGTGGAGTGAGAGAGCGAGAGAAACATCAGTGTGAGAGTCATCGATTGGTTGCCTCCTGCACATGTCCCTACTGGGTCTTGGGATCAAACCAGCAACCCAGGTATGTGCCCTTGACAGGAACTGAACCCTTGACCTTTTGGTCTGTGAGCCAACACTCTAACCACTGAGCACACCAGCCAGGGCTATAGATCTTATTGAAGCATATAAAAAAGACTTTAAGGGAGAGAATTACAATGTTTCTAGATAGAACACCTTGATAGAAAGTTGTCATTACTTGAAAATTAATATGTAATAAGCAATTACTCCCAGTTAAAATCACATTTGGGGGCACTTGGGATATGGATAAAATTATTTTCAAGTTCATATGGAAGAAAGAAATGTTTAAGAATACCCATGAAAATTATAAAAATAGAAGAATCATTGCTCCAAATTTGACAGTGATGGAGGATTTTAGCCCCTGGAAATTGTTTGAGTCATCAGTACTTCTCTTATGTCTCCCACAATGCCAATTACCATTTGGGTCCCTGGTAAAAACCAATGGAAAACATCCCCACCATCCAAAAAAAACGTAGTGGGTTTCCATGCTTCTCCACTTAAAGTGCCTCTTTCTTTTCTTTTTAGCTACTGTTTCAGCTCATTATTGACTACTTAGCAGAGTTTAATTCCACACCAGCTGTCTTTACAATGATAACTGAGCAGTTGAAGAAGACCTACTTTAACATCCTCATCAAGCCTGAGACTCTGGCCAAGTGGGTACACATGGGATCAGCTTTTATTTTGAAGGCCTGAAAGTATTTGCCTTCCTAGGGGTCAGTTATGGGGGCTGAGGCTATAGTTTTGCTGCTAATTTTCAGAGTTGTTAGAATTGTGCTCTGGTTTAGGAAACCATGCCATGGGATTATAGGGTTTCTAAACCCAGCTAAAGTAGGGTGAGTAGGACTGAAAGTAGCTTACTGTATTTAATTAGAGGCTGAAGGTTTTAGGGTGTTTTTTTCCAAAGTATGTAAGTAAATAACAGTTAAAGAAGTTATGGCTTTGTTGTAGCTTTGAATTACCTGCTGGTGATATTTTTGTGTTGGGTACTGGGATGAGTAGCTGAGATAAATTACTTAACATATCATTTATCTATCTAGCAATTGCAGTTTTCCAGAATTCAGCCAAAGTTACAGAAGAGTTAAAAGACTTCTGGACAGTCTGTGTACTAATGTTTAAACCAGCTGTGGGCAAACTATGGCCCACGGGCCGGATTCGGCCCGTTTGAAATGAATAAAACTAAAAAAAAAAAAGACCGTACCCTTTTATGTAATGATGTTTACTTTGAATTTATATTAGTTCACACAAACACTCCATCCATGCTTTTGTTCCGGCCCTCCGGTCCAGTTTAAGAACCCATTGTGGCCCTCGAGTCAAAAAGTTTGCCCACCCCTGGCTTAAACCCTCTGCTAATAAGCAGCCCCCTTCGGCCTTCCATCAGAGCCTGTAGCCTATAGGGTACCTTTGTGTGAATCAGGAGAAAGTATCCTCTTGGGGTACCCTCTGTCAGCTTGTGGAGCCTTTATGGGAGGGAGTGAAAAAGTTCCCCTCTGAGCAGGCCCAGCCCTTTGTGTACATGGTTTGCAAGCCCCCACTTTACCTCCTTGCTGGGCATCTGCAAATGGTAAACAGCACAACCTGATACAGACGTTCTGCTTTTGATAGTAAGAATGAGCCCATAAATGACCAAAATTCAAAAGCAGTTAAGAGTCGGGCAGGTAATAACTGATAATCTGATTATTAAAACTAATAACCAAATATAAGTTGGAAAGGAGAGTTGTCCAGAACTGTTGAAATGTTGAGAAAATAGCCCTGTGTGTGCAGTTACTCCTGAATGCTACTTTATTAAAATGTGGTAAAGTAATAATAATACCTTTTCATTGAAGATTCATTATGTGCTAGACCTAAGAACTTTGTGTATTTATATCTCACCAAAACCCCATTATTATTTTTCTTGTTTTATAAATGAAGAAATTGAGTCACAGGTGACTTGCCCAAGATAAACAGATTAGTGTGGGGTCAAGGTCAGTCTGATTTTGGCCTAAAGCTACTACCGGTACTATATTGTCACTTCAGTAATAGATATCTATAATGGTGACCTCTAGTAATTAGTAAAATGTTAGATTTTTAATCAAAATAGTAATAATTTTAAATTGGTGTGCAACTCATCTGGCAACTTATGTGAAATATTTTATTTTGCAACTGTGACAGATAAAAGTGAGTTGTACCATTGAGCAAATCTGTGTAAAAGTTTATGTGCGCAATTTTAAGTGCTTTTTGGTGATTGTTTCCCCATCTTAAATAGTGATAGAAATTGTTTCTCTTTAAAATATATCATCTGTAGAAATTTAACCAAATCTCTCTATACCTTCAAGATTCATATCTTACAACAAAACATTTTTTTCTGCCCTCTGTACAGAGACGTGCGGCTTTTAATTCTGGAATATGCCCGCTGGTCTATGATTGACAAGTACCGGGCTTTGATGGATGGCCTTTCCCTTGAGTCTCTGCTGAGCTTTGTCAAAGAGTTCAAATCCCAGCTCTTTGTTGAAGGCCTGGTACAAGGAAATGTCACAAGCACAGTGAGTGTGAGGTGTTCTGTTGCTGTTGGGCAGGTCTGAATGCTTTTGTGGGCTCTGGAATTGCATTAGTTCTTCCCTGAAGCTCTGGGTTTGGCAGGCCAGCGTTGTCATAGGCTATTTAGAAGGGAACCTGGCCCCTCTGATGCTGGGCAAGACTTTCTTATGAAGGAGACTGCTGGCAATGGACTGGGACTTTGGATGAAATGGGTTTGGTAAATATACTAGCCTGGTATTGGTTATGTTTGTTGACAGTTATGTAGAGAAACTACAAACAGTTTAGAAATTAAAGTGGGACCTGGGGAGTGGTGAGGGATGTACACACATATAAGTAAGCAGAACTTGTATGTCAGGCTTATCCTGTAGTAAATAGAGAACCATTGAAGGGTTTAAAAGAAGCTTTGTCATTAAGAAAGACCCAGATAGCCCAGTTATGAGGCTGTTATAAAAGTTTATATGAAGTATGATTTCACTTATATGAGGTATCTAGGGTTGTCGAAGTCATAGAAACAGCAGAATGGTGGTTACCAGGTTTGGGAGAGGTAAAAAGAGGGAATTGTTCTATGGGTGTAGAGTTAAAAAGTTTTGCAAGATGAAAAATTGTGGAGTTCTATTTCACAACACTGAATATACTTAACACTAGAGAACTGTATGTTTAAAAATGGTTAAGAAGGTAAACTTTGTTATGTGTCTTTCCACACTCACACAAGTGAAGTGAGAATGATGAAGCTTTAGAGGTTTGGCAAAATAAATGAGTCTGAAGTACTTAAGAAATAATAAGGTAGAGAGGATGGCCAAAACACAGTGACTGATTAGATGCGGGGGGTGAGGGAGAAAGAAGGGAAGGATCTAGGATGATGCCCAAATTTCTTGCTGACCCAGTGGGTTTGTGGAGGAGGAGAAACAATAGTAGGTTTGAGGGCATATGAGGAGTTTGTTGTGAGATTTTGAGTTGGAGATATGTGTGGGACCGTGTGACGAACAGGCCTCTTGTAGCCAAGAGTGCATCATTGATTGGGTCTCTTCCTAAACTCTTTGGCTGTTGACCATCTTCTATGGCTTCTCAGTTTCTCAGGACCGGCCCTTTGATGGAATATACATATAAATGGCCACTCTTGAGTTTGGCTGCTTCCTTCTCACTCCTCTATGTCTTTATCCCACACACTTACCCAGCCTTAGTTTCTGTCCTGTTCACAGAAAGAAGTTTAAAAGCCTCAACTCACATAGAAGAGCAGGAACAGTTGCCTGCTTCTCTGAGCAGTGGTAGTATTGGGCAGGGCCTTTGGTCCAGAGGACTTAGTACCATGTCTTGCCCCAGGTAGAAATCACTTTAGAAATGGGCCTACCCCTCCACTAATCCCTCCTTTTGTTGGTTAAAAAAACAAGTTTTGAGAGGAGGGGGGGATGCATTCACTTAGGATTATGCTGTTGCTCACTCTGTGCCAGGCTCCAGGTTTCTAAAGCAGTTACAGTTGTCAGAGGGCACAGAATATTGGGGTAAACTGAACAGTTAGTTTGATGCAGTGGGGAAAGTGTCACAGTGTGCAGGTAAGCAGAGTGCCGAGGAATTGTTCAGTTTAGAGCCACTTAGTGTTCAATGGACATATATTAAGTCAGTGAATGATGAGCCCACTCAATGAATGACTTACCCAGCATTTTGGGTGACAGACTATATCTGCTTTCCTAATGTTATCCAGGGCTTCCCAAGAGATTAGAATACAGTGGGGCCTTGACTTTCGAGTTTAATTCATTCCGTGACGGAGCTCGTAACTCAGATTACTTGTATGTCAAATCATTCAAGTGAACGAGTGAGACATGTGATGCTGGGCTGATGTTGTGGCGTTCACTGTGACGTTCGCTGCGCCAACTAGTGGTGGGGTATCTGAAGCTGGCTCGTAACCCGAATTTTAGCTCGCAACTCAAAGCAAAAAATCGGCTGAGAGACGGCTCGTATCTCGAAAAACTCGTTAGTCGGGACACTCATAAGTCAAGGCCCCACTGTATGGATATTAGTTGGTTCTGGGTGAAATTAATGTCAAGAGAGCCTAATGCAGTTATTTCTTCTCTTTCACCTCCTAGGACTCTATGGATTTCCTGAAATATGTTATTGAGTGAGTATTGGTTTGATTTTTCTCTTTGGGAGTTATGTGTTCTTACCAGCAGGAGGGCCTTGAGCCACTACTCAATTGTGACTAAATCACAGTGGACATAATTCTTGTGGTAGGTTTTCTTGAGACTAGTTATATAAACAAAGCACTTCAGAAGGGATTGTGGAAAGCCTGACCTCTTTTTCAGTTTTGGGGTGGGGTAAGAGGATAAAGGCACTGCCTCAGTGACCCACACTGATTCTTTTGCAGCAAGCTGAACTTCATGCCTCTGGAGCAGGAGATGTCTGTGCAGTTCCAGGTGGTAGAACTGCCCAGTGGCCACCACATATGCAAAGTGAGAGCTCTGAACAAGGGTGATGCCAACTCTGAAGTCACTGTGTACTACCAGGTCAGTTGGCCCCTTGCACAGCCATCCTCATGGCTAAGTACCTTTAAGGCATTAAAGCCTGGGGGAGTAGTGACCCTCTGACCTCCCAGACCCTCTGTAGTTTTGTGCTTGGGATCATTTGTTTTCTTGAAGCAACAACATTTAAAAATTGCTCCTGTCAGTAAAATGAACCCCTTTTAAACCACAGTGCTTCATGAATTACCCAAGTACTAGTCCAGAGGACAGACTAAAGTGTGATTGGAAATTCCCGTACATTCCGCTGACAGAACCCCAAGCAATAGGAGGACATTTGTTAAAAGGATGATTTTGAAAATTAGACAAAAGTAAACATAACTATGTAATCAGTATACAGCAAACAGAATGATTATCAGAATTATAATTGAAGGTTTCAAAGCACCTGACAGGATTTATCACCTCTATTTTATGAATGATGAATCTGAGGTCCAGACTCCCTTACTTCTGAGGTCATGTCAGCTGGGGCTTGAACACAAATCCTGTGTTCTTTCCACACCATTCTGGAGAGGTCAGATGGGACTTAAAGAACTTTGCAACAATCTCAGTTGGCCCATAGCCTTTGTTTAGTGCCACTCAATTCCAGGACTATGGGGACCTGTGCCTATCTAGTTTGATCTCAGACTTCTCCAACTTTTATAGCTGCTTTTGTGGTCCTGGGTCCCCTGCATGAGGAAGTCTCTTCTTTGCCAGGCCTTCTGAAGATCTCTGCTCTGGGCTTTGGGCGTGGCTGCATGGTCTTACTCTCTCTGTCCTTTCATTGCGATTTTGGCCCTGAACCTGAGTTTTTCTCTAGAGGCCCAGCTTGTCCATAGAGCCAATCTCCCTTTGGCTGTAGTTACCTGAGTTTCTCCCCAGGTTTTAAACTTGCTTCATAAATGGTATGGCCTCTCCCTGCTTAGCCTTGTCCACATTTCCAGTGCTTGACTGCTCAGAACCCAGAGTAACCTCTCCAGTTTTAGGTAGAATTTGTAAGCACCTCTGTTGAGGTACTTTCCATCGATCACTTCTTACTACCAGCTTCTAACAGACTGCTTCCTTTACAGAACCACTTCCTTCCTCACAGAGGGCATTTTGAACAGGAAATTAAGTTTTGACTAGTTTTATTGCAGTCCTTCTAGAGGCAAACCAGAAATCTTATTGCTGACTAAACAGGACTTGCAGGGAACACTCGCTTTATAAAGTCTTTTCTCTGTGAAGGGGGGAAGAGTAGAAATGAGTCTGTCAGAGGAGCCTACAAGAGCCTGACAGGGGGATGCACTAGCAAAATCACTGCTTGTTGGCCTCTTGCCCTCTTTTATTCTAACCACATTATTTTGCCAGTTTCCAGGACAGCCAGCATGTGGCATCTGCTAGGCATTTTTATCAATTGGTATGGGTGCCTAGGCATGGCTGCAAAGCTCCTGTTCACATCTTTTTCACGTGAGGAATAGATCCAGTTACCCTTTATTGATACCCAGACATTTCTTGCTCTCCTTAGCACCTTGAACTACAGTACTTGTTTTTTTTTTGTTGTTGTTTTTTTTAAAATATATTTTATTGATTTTTTACAGAGAGGAAGGGAGAGGGATAGAGAGTTAGAAACATCGATGAGAGAGAAACATCGACCAGCTGCCTCCTGCACATCTACTGGGGATGTGCCTGCAACCAACGTACGTGCCCTTGACCGGAATCGAACCCAGGACCTTTCAGTCCGCAGGCCGACGCTCTATCCACTGAGCCAAACCGGTTTCGGCCAGTACTTGTTTTTAGATTGTGTCCTCTAGGTCCTTGGCAGGAGCTGGCAGGTAGGGATTATTGGACTTCCTCTATGCCTACCCTGCAGTTCTGTCCTAGGGCTAAGAATACAAATGAGCACGCATGAATCCTATCCTCACAGACTTTCTGACAGGAAGACAGATGTATAACAAAATTGTGGAAAGTATGGCAGTAGAGGGTATGATCAACTTTCTTTGGGGGATGAAGAGAATGGGATGGACACATGAATAAATGGTTGCCAAGAATAGCTGATTAAAACACCCTGCGAGCCATTGGACTTTCAGTTGGTCTGACCAACTTCTCCTTTCAGTCAGGTACCAGGAGTTTGAAAGAATACACTCTTATGGAGCTGCTTGTGGTAAGTTGTATAAAAGAGTTAAGGAGCCCTGACCCACAGAGGACTGACCTTTTTGCCTAGCGGTAGGGACTTAGGAATTGTCAGAGACCTGTGGTTGGAAAGTGAGATGGTTATTTAGTATTCTCACCAGTATGATCATGGAGAGAGGGGACTGGGCAATTTAGGAAGAAGGCAGTAAGGGAGGCTGGACTTTGGGGGTGTATGGAACATTTGGGGGGAAGAAATGGAGGTTTCTCGGTTAGGAGGAGTTGGGCTGATGGGTAGTATGTTGAATTACAGATGCACATGGAAGAGCCTTGTTTTGACTTCCTTCGAACCAAGCAGACCCTTGGGTAAGTCTGCTGGCAAGAGCACTGAGCTCAAATAAGGGCCTGGGGCTTACTTTGCAGGCTGAAATTTCAGATATCCTGACTGAGCTGTGTCTCAGAGCTCTTTGGCCCTTCCATGTCTACTTAGAGTCATACCTACTGGTCAAAACTTCTGGAATTTGCATCTTGGACTATCATTGGGTTTTCAGTTTGGTCACATTTCAAAATTAGCAAGAGAACAAGCTAGCCTGTGGTCCTGTAACCTGAGAATGAAATAGATGTATACATCTTTCTGGATCTCGAGGTTCAGTAAAGATGTGCAGAAACCCTTCCCTCATCTCTAGTGTTTCTGAGGGCAGGGCCCAGGTGACCAGCTGAGCTCATAAAACTTTTTGCTTTGGCTGTAGGTACCATGTCTACCCTACCTGTAGGAACACATCTGGGATTCTAGGATTCTCTGTCACTGTGGGGACTCAGGCAACCAAATACAAGTGAGTAAGCAAACTATTATTATTGGCATGGAGAGCAGGGGCTACAGATAAACCTCAGACAACTCTAAGTCACAGCTGCAGGGGGTGGGGGCTGCAGAGTGATTGGTCATAGATGGCCTGATCCAGGACTGATCAATGGTTCCTATTAGGGTTTGACTCAAGTCCTGTGGTCACCGTACAGGGCTTGCCAATGTTTATGTCTTCAGGTATATCTAAAGACAAGAAAGGCAAAGGTACTGGCCTTAATGCTAGAACCAAGGTACAAGGCCTTGTTGGTTCTCAGCTTTGGAATGGCCAAGCATAGGTCACTGCTTCAGTATGAGGATACCAGGAAAATGGGCCAGAGTTGGGGGTAGGATTCTTTCCATTCATTTCCCTCCCTCCATTTAAGGGAGTGCTGAGGAGGACTGGGAAGAAAACATTTCAGCCTCTTTCCGAGACAGGGTTTCTAATGACTTTTGTTTTGTTTCAGCTCTGAAGTTGTTGATAAAAAGATAGAAGAGTTTCTTTCTAGCTTTGAGGAAAAGATTGAAAACCTTACTGAGGATGCATTCAACACCCAGGTGATTGAGCTGGCCTGGGCTTTTGTTTCTTGGCCCAGACAAGCCCTCAAGACAACTGGACACCAGCCTTAGCTTTGCCGGCCAGTTTTGGAACATTGTAGTCCCACCTTAACTTGACCATGTATTCTTAGCTTCGTTCCTCTGCATCATGCTATCAGGTCCTAAGTGAAGGGACCATAGCGTGTCCATCACAAGCCATATGTTCTGGAGGCACCAGTGTGATGCTATGCCTGAAGAGCTCTTTTTGGTAACAGGTCACAGCCCTGATCAAGCTGAAGGAGTGCGAGGATACCCACCTTGGGGAGGAGGTGGATAGGAACTGGAACGAAGTGGTGACACAGCAGTATCTCTTTGACCGCCTTGTCCATGAGGTAATAGCATGGTTCTCTGAATAAGACTGCCCTCACAGGGACTCCTGATTTGGCAGGAGTCACCATTCCAAGCACATTGGTATTGGGTGGAAGAGACCCCTGGGGCGCTCACACCAGGCCTGGTTCCTGACTTGCTCATTGCTTGATTAGTTTCCAGACTGGCCTCTCTAACATCTTAGGTGGCCAAGTGCGCAGGATGCTAATCCTTACCTACAACCCCCAACCAATTTCAATTAGAGCAGATTCATTTGTTTTATATATTGAGTTTCACTTTAAGATTTGTGGGGGGAAAAGTGTTCTATTTAAAGAAAATTTAAAACTTTGATCTTTATGAACATAGAGTTCCTCCTCCAGACAGGATTCTTGGTGTAGGTCTTTTGACAAAGTAGTAAAATCCACAAAAAAGAGCTCCGTGTGCTGCAGTCCAGTCTCTCGGATAATATAACCCTTGTGGTGAATTACCAAAGGACACTGAGGCAGAGGTTTAACAAGAAGCTCTTAAGGCACTACAGGTTTCCTGTTAGAAGCAGAGCAGATAAAGTTCTCTACCAATTTCAATAGTTACTTGTATTTTTCTCATTAGAGTATATAGTTACTATGTACCTGAGAGTTTGGCTCAGTGTGTTACTCAGCTATAATTACAATATCTGCTACCCTTTCTTGCTTATGAAACCTTAAAATGTGCAGCCAAAGCTCATTTTTATCCTATTCTGGAAGGTTGGGGGCAAGCCGAAACTTGATGTGCTCAGACCAAGGAAGTCTGCCAGGTGTTACGTTTAAGATCTATCTTTCAAGAAAATGTATTGCTAGTCTTTTATAGCTTTCTTTCCTATCTTTCCTTCCTCTAAAAGATTGAAGCACTGAAGTCCTTCTCAAAATCAGACCTGGTCAATTGGTTCAAGGCTCACAGAGGCCCAGGAAGTAAAATGCTTAGTGTTCATGTGAGTATGGTTGTCATTTAGCCATTATTATTCACTGCGTTTTTGCTGGTACCAGAGATCCTAATAGGTCTTTGTCTAAATCTGGTCGGCCTATTTCTCACCTCGAGCCTTTGGCTTCTTCCAGGTTGTTGGATTTGGGAAGTATGAGCTGGAAGAGGATGGCACCCCTCATGGTGAGGATTCAAACTCTTCTTGTGAACCGATGCAGCTAACCTACCTGCCAACCTCTCCTCTGCTGACAGATTCTACCATTCCCATTACTGATATCAGGGCTTTCACATCAACACTTAACCTTCTCCCCTACCATAAAATAGTCAAATAAACTGCAGTCTCGTTGGCCTGAACGAAACATTGTGTATTTAAAATGTGTATTTTATGAAGTTATACTACTATGGCCTTAGGGCCCCCATTGAATTTTTGCACTGGCATCATAGAATTTGATTTACTCCCCACCCCTTCTGTGGTGACTAACAAAACGGGTTACGGTAGCAGCTGGCAGAGAGAAATCAGCAGGGTGGCCAAAAAGCTTATAGGAGCAGTTTGAGAAGCCCTGGCACCTGGTTCTCTCAGATTGAGAATCCAGTTCTGTATGACAGCCCTGTGTAACCCATGTCTTATTAGTACCTAAATGTTAGGTGCTAATACTAATACCTAAATGATGTTGTTTTTAATGTATTTTTAAATAAAGATAGTTCTGTATTACCCTTCAGAATGAGGCATTTGCTGCTGTGGCATTCTTGTTTCAGTGTGGGGTACAGATATAAACTTTCCCCAAACCCTCTTAGGCAAGCATGTCAAACTCAAAATGAGGCCTGTGGGCCCCGAGTTTGACATGCTTGCTCTAAGGCAGTGGTTCTCAACCTTCCTAATGCCGTGACCCTTTAATACAGTTCCACATGTTGTGGTGACCCCCAACCATAAAATTGTTTTCATTGCTACTTCATAACTGTAATTTTGCTACTGTTATGAATCGTAATGTAAATATTTGATATGCAGGATATATTTTCATTGTTACAAATTGAACATAATTAAAGCATAGTGATTAATCACAAAAACAATATGTAATTATATATGTGTTTTCCAATGGTCTTAGGCGACCCCTGTGAAAGGGTCGTTCGACCCCCAAAGGGGTCGCGACCCACAGGTTGAGAACTGCTGCTCTAAGGCAATAAAATATTTTTGAATAAAATGTTGGTAGTCCTATGTCTGCTACATGAGAGTTCGATGAGGACTTGGTCGGGGGGTAGAGACAGAACACCAAGTGTAAGGGAGTGGTGAGGGCAAGGATGGCCCTCCATTATTATAGGGGAGTCCTTGTAAAAAGCTAATTCCTGTATTGAAAGTTGCCAAATAATTGCCTCCAAGTTTAACCATAAAGATAATAAACGAAACACATTTAAAAAAGGTTGGAAAAAGTACTTTATGAAGCCTTCAGAAGCACTGAGTATAATTAAACTGTAACCCAGTTAGATACAATTCCAAAATAAAAGTTATTGTAGGTGAGACCATGAAATTTCCTAATACTTGATTTTAATACATTGCGCTAAATTTCTAAAACTCAGAGGAACCAATATTTACAGATGGAGTATTTATGAAAAATCTGGCATCAGGTATATATGTGTATGTATATATATGTGTATATATCCCAAGATTATATGAACTAAGAAACAGATGGTGTATTATCTCAACAGCAGTACTAGAGTGCAGAGTTTGAGACTGGGATTTTTAAATGCTTTTCAAAGCCTGGGGTTTGGAAAAGGAGCAGACATGGTGTTTTCAAAACCTGAAGTTTTTCTCAGGACTGAAGTCAAAATTGTAACTGCCACAAAAGAGGAAAAAGAGAAGCTTTTCTCGCTTTAATTGTTCATCTGCATCGGAAAGTCCAGTATCCCTGAGATAGGAACCACTGCAATAAGAAGGGAGTAAGTATGTTCTCCCAAAGGAAGACTGTTGCTTAATTATGCCTACTGCCCTGGTTATCAGGTGTAAACTTTGCATTTCCCAACCTAATGCTTGGCAGCACCAAGACGTTTCAGTAATGGTTCATCGTAAACCCAACATTCTCCATCTTCATGAAATAACTGTAAAAGAAAGAGGGAGAATTCAGTTACACATTTATGTACTTCTATAGTATCATACTTTTTATTATTTTATGTCTGTCCCATTACACTAAATGAGTTTCATGCAGGGACCTGGGCTCATCTTGTTCATCAGCATGCTTGCTTAAAACAGTGTTTGGAACTTCAACATTCATTGAAATGAATGAATGAGTTACAGCTCAGCATACAGGAGCAGTAGCAGTTGGGAGGTTGGGGCAGGTTCCCCAGAGCAAGCTTACCCTCGTCTCCCATTGAATTTCCTTCTCCTTCCTTTCTCGGGCTTCTGCTCTTTGTCTTTCTTCAAGTCTGTGCTTGGCTTCAGTTGCTGCATCAATATCTCTGATTTTTAAGTTGAAAGTGACATCCTTCCAAAGACTAAAAAAAAGAAGTAAAGGTGCTAAGTACTAGATGGACATAATTATGAGCAATCTTGAGAATGAAAAGCAAGTCTATAGCTACCCTTAAGTGCCATCGTTCACAGACTAAAGATTCTTAAACTGGCACCAGGGCACTGGGGTAAAGATCAGAAAAATAGACTTGGAAGATTCCACTGCTAGTTTGTCAAAGGAGGAAATAAAGGATGGGCAGAAAGCTGAATATATGGTAGGGACAACAGAGGAGAAAGAAAAGTGAGAACTGAGACCTGGGATTCTATTTCTGACTCTACATCTAATTAGCTATGCAACTTTGGTGATGTCAGTTCACCTCTCAAGGGCTTGAGTGTCGTCCTTTATTATAAAACAAAAGGATTAGAACAGAGGCGCTGAGAAGTTCCGTTTCAGAAAAGCTCCCTTGGAGAAACAGTGTGAATAGAGAATGAGAGTCAACTGCAGAGGCTTAAAGGGGTAAGCTTCCTCTCAAGGCCTGGAAGGTGATAACTGGACAGGTCTGGTCCAAACATGTTACTTTACAAGTGAAGACTCCTAGGGACTAGAAAAGTGTCCACGCCTAAGATCCCCTTGTGGTGAGTAGCAGAGCATATATTTCCATGTTTCCACTTATGTAACTCTGAACAGATTATAAACCAAGCAGATTATTAACAAGTTAGTGACAAGAAGTAGGAGTAATGATTTATAAGGCCCCCTACCTTCACTTATGAATCCCCAAATACACTAAACACCCTAATACACTAAACAAAGAACTTTAGTGCATAATTCCTCATACCACTAAAAGATCCTGATTTTATTGGGAAAGGAAAAAATGATGTTTGAGTCTACTGGAAAATTGAATACCAAATAGGCATCTGAATGCATTAAGGAATAACTGATTTTCTTTAAGTGTGATAATGATACTTCGTGGGTTTTTTTTTTTTTTTTTCTTATGTCATTAGAGAGATATATGCTGAAATACTTAGGGATGAAAAATTTTAAAAAGTTTCTTGCAAATAAAAGACCTGAAGGTGTTTTGCTACACATCTCTCAGTTGGGACCTCACTGCCATCTCTTCTAAACCACAAAGAGGGTGGTAAGCCAACACACTCTGCGTACTTACTATATGTCAAGTATCATAATATGCTACAAACATGTCATCTCATTTATTCCTCACAGCACTCTGAAGCGGTTCTCATTTCAGGTAAAAAGGCAGAAAGGCAAGCTTACAAGTCTTTTTTACAAAATCATAAGTGGTGGAGCTTGTATGAATCTAGGCATTCAAACTTGGTCTGTGCTCTTACACTCTGCTCTACTGTCTCCATAACCCAGTCCTGCAGCTATGCCTAGTCAATCAACAGCTCTATCTCCTTACCAGCGGGATTCATACTCATTCTGATCTTCCAACTTCCTCACTTTCTTCTTGATTATAGGCAACTTCTTGGTATCTATAAAAACTGCATTTTCCTAGGAAACAGAAAAGGTAGATATTTTATTGTTCATCCTGTTCTAAGAAGAGTCAACTCTTCCTAGAAGATTTTAATAGATGTTATAATCAAATCCCACATATTGAGAAAGACAGTGAGTTTCATCAGCAATCTTCAGCCTTAAAATATAGTTTTGTCTTAAGTCTTAGTAGAGGCTCAATTCAATAAACATTTTCAATGTGACCAGATGCCACATTCTCAGGATGTAATCTCTTGGAGAGCTAGACCCAAAAACAACTAATACTAATGATAAGTATACTGAAGTGCTTTTTACATTTCAAATTCTCCAAATCCAAAATCCAGTTCACTGACTCCTGTTAATCCCACACCACCTTCCCTACCTTAATTAGGTACCATTTGCAAGTTCCCTGAGGGCAAGGACTATCTTACTCATTTCTGTATCCCTGGTGCCAGGCACTCAATACATTTCTTATACAAAATCAAACTGCACATAAACACAAATTAGTTCAGCACTTCATTTTATAAACATACCACACATTCTAATGATATAGGTAACATTTACTGGGTGCTTTATTATGTGCCAAGCATTTTTTAACATACATTTTTTCTTTTTAAAAATGTTTATTAAAAAACATTTTTTCAACTTGTTTACATTCAGTATTGTGCTGTATTAGTTTCAGGTGTACAGCATAAAACATACTTATTCTTGAATGTTTTGAGAGGAAAGTCAAATCATTCTACTACCTTTACTGCTGGGGAACAGGTGGGGAAAGAAAAAGGCTTGCCCTGAAGGGATGGCATTAAAGCTGGCCTCGAGGGTTCAATTTCCAGATGAAGGAAGCCAGAGTAAAGGATAGGCTACGATTCAATGTAGCCTGAAACAAGTGGCAAAATATAGCTTCTTACCCCTGTTGCATATTTTACATACATGACACCATTCCATTCCCCTTCAATTGAACAAAAGGACTTCTTGTCATTTGGAGAACTAAATAGAAAAGAAACATTTGTGTCAGTCTCAAGTTGAAAATTACCAAAGAATCTGGTCAGGGTGACCTACCTACACAGAGCAGAACACAGAAGAGCAACTGTGAAGTCTTTGGTAAAGCAGCTTAACAGGACTGGATTTCCCAGTCAAACGTAAGAACCAGATGGGCCCTGAGCTGATGGTAACAGCAGACTAGGGGCAATCCCTGCCCTCAGGCTGTTCACAGCCTAGTGGGGAGAAAGGACACCATAAATTCTGGGTGGTAAGTGCTGTGGGAGTTATGTGAGCACTGGAGTTCAATGGCAAAACTGCTGGGATGAAGGTCAGGGAAGGTTTTGCTTATGCCAGAAACCATTCAACCTGAGGCTGAAAGGGACCTCTGCGTCAAACAGTTTGACCTCTTTACCTGACAAGGATCCCTTTCTCAAAGGTCCCAAGAGACCTCTACTTAGACATGGTAATGACATGTATGGCAGGTATGGAATTTGGAAAGATAAGCATCACAGCAAAGGACAAGTTAGGAGGGGCAAGGCAAAGGCCAGAAGGAGTCTAAGAGGTCTGGAGAGAGAAATACACAGGGTAGAGGGATGAAGCTTTTATCACTGGACCAAAACTTAAGTTTCCTCTATGATTTAGGGGCTTTGAGGAAGGGGTACAAATGAAAAAGAAAAACCCATAGGACCCCAGGTTTAGGTCACTGTGCAGTGGTTCTCAAAGTGTGGTCTGGCAACCCCCTTGGGGTTCCCAAGATCCTCTTAGATCAAAACTACTTTTGAACACTAAGATGTTATTTGCCTTTTCCACTCTAATTT